TAAACCCCCCCCCCCCCCCACTCCATCACACCTGCCAAATTCATCAAGAACATCACAGAGGAAAAGTTGTATGCTCCACAGATATGAATGCTTTAAGGGATTCCACGAAGCTTTAGTTGCAAAGGCAACCCCAAGAAACCTCTTCCCTTCCCTTTGCAATCCATTCCCTAAGTCATTCTCTTCCAGTCCAACCGAGTTTGTGATAAACAGTCTTAAATTGTTCACATCCCACCGGCACAAGCCCCCAGGGCCCCTCCCTTTTTTTTTTTTTTTCCCCCCAGTATAACGTTCCCCATGAAGCATAGCCCGTGCCCTGTGATCTGATCAAGCTTCAACACATTGTGTTTTTCAGTAGTCCAAGTCTCTCTTGCAAAAAAGTTGGAAGGTGGTTAGGAGAGGGTGTGCAGGCAGGAGCACAAGCCCAGCTCTCCCGTTGACTTGCTTTCTTCAGCCGAATGAGCCTCTGCCCTGACCTCGTGTGCAGTTTTTCAGCTTGCACCATGTGCATTATATTCCCAGGTGAATCAGCAGGGTTCTTTGAGATCCTCAGGGGGAGTGTGCTCGGCGCAATTATTCATAGATGGCAAAATATTTTAGAGTCAACGATAACAATTTCATGGCACCCTGCTCTCTGCTATCTAGAAACAGCACTGGAGATTTAATCTGCAACGTGTTCAAAGCATTGATGGTGGAAACTGAGCTGCAGGTCTTCACTATCAAACAACACCAGAGCACTGTTTTGCAGCAGAACAAGCTGCTGCCCCCTCCTCTGAGACCTCCTCTATCTTCTCACCGCAACTCAACCCAGATCCAGCTCTGGGCCTTCTCCCCCAGCCTGTCTGCATTTCTGCTGTGCTAGAGCCTTCCACCCGACCTGCTCCTCAAAGCGTTTTTCTCTTCCCAGTCTCAGGGCTTTATCTTCTTCCACGAAATTCCCTACAACCTCCAGCTGGCCACGCGCTCCCGTGCCTCTGTAAGCATCTGCTCCCTGACCACCTCTCTCCAGCTGCTCCCGCCCGAGGAATTTGTTCATTCATTGCGTTCCAGCTCTACGCCCCAAGAGCCAACAACTGCACATATAACGATGGGAATGCTGATAGCGTTAATAGATGATCGCAATCAGTATCCACACACCTGAGCAGGACCGCGTGAGGATCTTCAAGGCCTGCAGTTTCTACCTTTGAAACCCACGGGGGGTTGATGCAATCTAAAGGCAAGTAGCTAAAGGGAAGAAAGGCAAGAAGGAGAGAAGGAGGAAATAAAGTTCCCAGTTGCTAAAATAGAACAGGAAGGAAAAGGTAATCTTTTGGTTTCTTGGATACTAGAGTTTTGCTCACGTTCAAATGGAGCATGTTGATGAGGCAAGATTCAAAGACCTTGAGGGAAATCCCTAGGTCCCAGTGATGATGGCTCTGAGTCACTATCATGCGCCCCGTAACTTGGAACTTGAGATGCACAGCTGGAACAGTTTCACTCCACATTGCTACCACCAGGCCTACGTTCTCCACACATCCTTTGCTCCTCTTCCAAGCTTCCCATCTCTTTTCCCCTCTCCCCTCCCGCCCCCCACACAAGCACGTGCAGCTGATAGCCTTCTACCTTTCTTTTTCCCTTCTTCTCCTACGAGTCCAGACACAGCTTCTTCCAAGTCCTACCTTCCTTTCTCTTGCACATCCCACCATAGATCAACAGAGGTGTTGGGGAGCACCTCGGCCAGGTATTTTGTGACAGTGGAGCATGCTGCAAACATGCATGGAGATTGACATTAACTTAGTCGTATCTTGGGCGTCTAAGTCTGAGATAACTGCCCCAGGCTGTCTTGGTAGACAGCAAGGAGAAATAGGCACCTCCAGAGGCCATTCATCTGACCTATCTTAGACGCCTATCTTAAGTTGAGATGAATGGCCCTCTGGAGGTGACTATTTCTCTTTATTGACTACAAAGGGACCCAGGGGCAACTAGTTCAGACTTAGATGTCCAATAGTGAGATATTTAAAACTGGGCGAGGTGATTTTTGCTCCCAGTGGTTATGTAAATAGGAACTGGATACACAAATCTCTTCAACTTTTCAGCAGGACCAGTGAGTGTTTGTGCACAGATCTATTTGCAAACAAATCTCATCTTCTTCTATTTCAGTAAGAGCTTGTGCTGGAGTAAAATTAAAATAATTCCAGCTGCAAGGCAAGGTTTGGGTGTGATACGGATAACAACTCTCCTCTTTCAGTTAAATTGGTAACTTTACTACAAATATTTTTGAAATAGACTCAGTTTTCTCCCGGTTTCTATCAACATCAGGACTCACACCAAAGTAGTCATTTCTCTCCTTAAAGGAGCGGGATGTTCAAACAACGAGGATCTGCACTTAAGATATAATCTTTTCTAGCTCCAGGAGATAAAAAGAAAGAAAAGCATAGCAGATTCTCGTCTGCTGTAAACTGCCAGAACTCCACTAATTTTAATGGAGCTTCACACCAGCCAACAGCTTGCCTCTTGCTACACCAGCCAGACGCAATGGGATCCAAAGTCTCCAGCGCCTGCTAGACACAGTCCTCCCCTCCTTAAATTGCATCAAACTGGGGAAAGCCCTGGGATTTAACTGGAGCAAGACTGCTTTGAGCCCCTTGCACTACAGTTCCCCATCAAGGCTTCATTCCCCTCTTTCTGGGTGTTCTGGACAAGGGAGGGTGAAAGGCAGCGATAAGCTCGGCTGGCTCCCTGCAGCACGGCAGCCCAGGACTGCGCTGCTCTCCTTGGTTCACCTGGCAGCTGTTTTGCATAGCACTGGCATCAGATCTGGTGCGAGTTTGCCTGGGGAGGTTTCTCTGGGGATGGGAGCAGCAGAACAGTTCCGGACGGCTTTCCCCCCACCCGCTGCTGTTCCCCCCCCACCCCCAGCTCCTGCAACGCACCGTTTGCTCTGAAAACCAAAGACAAGCTCTCTATCAGAACCGACACGATTCCCACTGGAAGCCGCCGAGCCAGTCCAGCACTTGAGGATAAAAGTGCCGTAATGGGAGAAAAGTAAAATCAAGATTGCGGTGCGCCTTCATCTTCCCCAGGCAAACGCATGCAGCAACATGCAGATGTCACCTGCGGGGAGTGACAGCCGCCCGTGGCTTCTCACCCGATGACAAAAACAAGGCTTTGCCACCAGAAGGCCAACCCCGTCCCCTTTCCCACCCCACTACACACCTAATCCACCTGGCGGTTTGGTCTCAGCTGCACAGAAGGGACAGGGAGCGAGAAGGTGATTTCAATCTTGAGCAGGTGCTGGGGAATTCCCACAGGGAATCGGTTTTCTGCCGCGTGCATTTGGGAGGGAAATTCAGAACAGCTGAATGGCGATGGAGGAACAGTGCCAGGCAGACACCAGGCAGGGGATTCAGCTGCCTGGGCTTAGATGTCTAACTTTTAGGTGTCTAATTCTGAGCCAATTGCTCTAGGCTCCCTTTACAGCCAGGGAGAGGAAGCAGGCGCTTCCAGAGGGCAATTCATCTCACCCCAAGATAGACAGCAGGGAGATGAGTCACCTTCTGGAGATACCTATTTTCATCATTGACTGTACAAGGAGCCTGGGGTGAGTAGGTCAGACTTCAGCCTCAAAGTATTGAATATCTAAAATTAAGATTAATCTCACCTTTCCTGAAGATTTTAGCACTCCAGATGACAAAGCACAATGCCATTAGAGACTGCCAAAGCAGGCCAGAGCGCCTTGCAAGGTACATTTTCTAGAAGCTGAGAAATGTCCTTGCTCACATTAGCTGATATGACAATCAAACCTCTCACCTCAAACAACACGGCAAGTTAAAGGATTTCCCGAGAGCGGGTAAGGAAAAGACTGGCAACAATTACCATAGCTATAAACAACACTTGACACACATACGATAAACGAAGCAAAACGCTCACCTGCACTGAGAAGGATGTGGCTCTATTAAGCAAAAAAAGATATCAAATCATCATCAAATGCGCTCCTCAGGATTTCAATTCACTCGGGAGGCTCAAGGAAATACCAAGTCACAGACCTCATGCTGCCATTCCCAGTGACTTCTCCAGAACCAGCAGGAAGAGCCCTGGCTGGTAGGAGCTCACTTAAATCACTTTCTCCCCATTTTAGTGGCTACCCCTGATTCCCTCCAGCTGTGTCCAGTCTCACTGGGAAGCAGAAGCTGAGCAGACACCAGTCAGTTCCCTGGATCCTTACGTGCCCTGCTGTGATGCTTGCTGTTCCCAAGCCTTACCTTAAGAAGTACTTTTTAAAGGGAGCAGGGGAAAGAGTGAACAGGATGGGGAATTTTTTAGGCAGCCAGGTAGGGCTGCAGTTTTCATGTTAACCCTCGGCTCTAAAGACACAGAGAGACCAAAGCGGGGCATTGGAGCATCTCCCTGGGAAAGTTA